TATTAGAGGGGGGTTTGTGTAGACATGAGTAAGGCAAGACCCCCTCTCTGCAAGAGTGGAGGCTGGGGAAGCATGGAGAGGGGGCAGGAAGGTGAAGAAGCATTGCTATTGCCAGCTAACCAGATGTGAAGGTCACTTGGTATAGACTTGGAGTTTGGCAGGAGGGTGGACGGGCCCAGCACATGCTTTACTGCCCTCTATCTTTTCTTCTCTTCTGCTTTCTACCCCCTTTTACTACTGGCCAATGTTTCTCCCTCAAACCTTCTGGAGAGCTGGGGACAATCACTTGTTTCCATCCTCACTTTCTGTCCCTGCAGAAGCCCCTCAGCTGGCAGTCGCTGAGTCCCAGGTGTCAGTGTTGGAGGGGCAAGAGGCCTGGCTGGAGTGCACTCTTCAGGGGGGTGTGCCCCCTGCCCAGCTCCTCTGGCTGGCACCTCGGCAACAGCAGGTGGAACAGAGCACTTCTGGATACATGCTCTACTCCATGAGTGCCCAACTGCACCTCCGAATCCGAGACGCTGACCCAGCACACCACAGGGGCACCTACCAATGTGTGGCCCACAATGCTGTGGGCAACAGCAGCCAGGATGTGCGGCTAGAGGTTCTGAGTGAGTGCAGCGGGCGTGTGCTTGGGTGGCAAAGAGGATGGTGGGACACTAGCAGTCCCAGAGTCCTTTGCAGAAAGCCTTAGAAATTCCTTGCTCTAAAACGTGGACATCCTGGGCTCCCTCAGGCTTCAAGAAGAACCCCCTTTCCCTCCTCCCAAGCCAGTACAATCCTGGTGGGTGAGGTGAGTCATGAATCGGATGCTGATTCCTGGGTAGGCTGAGTTTGCATCTCATGCCATCTTGAATACAGGCATGCAGAATTCCATGCCATCTGAACCATTTCCTTGTCCTCATTTCATGGAGAAAGTGGACTTGGTAGATTTGCTCAGGAGTATGAACCCCAATCTAGCATATCCCCAATCTAGTCCATCTTCCACACTGCAGGCAGTCTCTCCACAGGAACCAATGTGGCTGGTTGTGTTCCCTCCTGCCTCTCTCCCCACCCCACTCACCTCCAGGGTATCCGGCTCCTCCCAATGTTACCATCAGCCACCTGATGTACAGGCGGCACCGGAGAGAGGTGCAGCTGCAGTGGGCCATTCAGGGCCCTGGGAACCTGACTGGCTTTCTGGTGCAGCGGAGGGCCAGTGTCCCCAGTCCAGGAACAGGGGCTTGGGAGACAGCAGCTAGAGACATTGAGCCAGAGAGCAGGGACCGGCTTCTGGGAGGCTTGGACCCAGGGGTCCTCTATGCCTTCCGAATCCTGGCTCTGAATCACCGAACTGCAGGACATCCCTCCGAGGTGAAGACGCCAGGTGCTGGGCTGGTGGCAGGGCGGGACTCACCTTCCCCCCTCCTCAAAGCTGGGCCATCTTCCTCTCGACCCTCCTCCACACAATGCCCCCACCCCCTCCATTCCTTTGCTTCCTTCTTGCTGGGTTCCCCAACCTCAGTCTGTCCTGTATTCTACCCTCTCTTTGGGGGTGCTTGGGTAGTATCTATTACTCTCTCCAACCCCTTCCTGGGGATTCAAGAGGATCCAGGCCTAGGGGCAGAACTCAACCCAGCTTGAATCAGAAGAAACATGGGAGAAGGGAGGAAGGCGGTGGAGATTTCTTATGGAGAGGAAGCCCACTCTGTGCCTCAGTCTCACTCCTGGGGTGTAGAGCACTCTTGGTTTCCTGTTGATCTCTCTCTGTTCTGGGAAACTCTCATTTTATGGCTAGACTGCCAAGACAAGCAGCCTTCTGCTTTCTGGGCCAGAAATAGGGGATTTGGTGGAGGACTCAAATGATCAGGAGCACCAGGCAGCCAGAATACCTCTCCCCTTGGGAGGGAACTGACTGCCAGGTTCTCTGGGGGCCCCATGGCAACTGGCCGACAAGCTGATCAGGACACCCACCTCCTTCACCCTGTGTGGCTCTAACCCCTGCAAACCACGCTCTGCTCCCCTCTCTTCCCCAGTGGACCCTCCCTTCAGTGCCTATCCAGCAGTGTTGGGTGCAGCAGGTACAGGAATGGTGGTGGCGACAGTGGCTTCTCTGTTGGTGTTCCAGTATGCAGCGCGGCACCCACACACTTTCCCCTGTGAGTCTGAAACCTTGGTAGACACACACCCAAAGGAGAAATTAGGTTCTTCCTAATATCTGTGACCCTTTCCCTAAGGCTGATGCTGCCTTCTGGGTCTCCGGACCCCAGCTTCAGGTTCTGGGCCATCTCCTTCTGGTTCCTGGAGACCACAGAGAGGCAAAGGAGGATCGTTCTCATGAGACCCATGTCAAGTCTGTCAAGTAACTCTTCTCCTTTTCTTCCTGCAGGTTTCGGGCAGCTGCTTATTCCCCTGTGAGTAGGGAGCCCTGGTCACTCTAGGGGAGGACTTTGGTCTTCACCACAAGGGAAGGCTAGGAAAACAGTTGCTACCAACTTTCCTCTTGTCCTTTCTCCACAGGGAGCACAGGGACCAACAGAGGGGCTCAGAAGACCCAGAGACACACACAGGTAAGCACAATTTTATACTAAAGATTATCCAGAAGAATGCAAAAAGAAACGACCAACCCTTGGGAGCTGGAGGTGTGGTTCAGGTGGTGGAGCACCAGCCAATGAATGAAAGACAGATCCCGAGTTTTGAGTCTTGGTCAGCTGACTTTCATTCACATGCTGTTGGACTGATTGGTTCTCTGAGAAAAATCAGCCATGGCATCCCTCACTAAGGCATCCATCTCTCTATCTCTTCTCTGTCCATCTACGCTCTTGATAGGCATAGAGACACCGGTTACCTCTTCAAGTTTGGATCCTGGACAAGAAGCCACTGATGCTCCAGTCAGTGTTACCATCACAATGACTGCAACACCATGAGGAAGGTGTAAGTAGGCCAAGGGAGGTGGAAAGATCTGGGCACTTTGGTTTTTAAAACCTTGGTCTTAAATAGCAGATTCATTTAATACTAGACGCTATAGTCTGAGGACCCCAAGTATGTTGGTCATAGGGATCTGGCCTGGAGACAGAAGCATGAGCAAGTAAGCTGCTTCCAGAAAAACAACAAAAGAAAACAGGAGAACTGTAGATGGAGCCATTGCTAAGTAAATCACACCTAATATTCTTACTAAGTGAGGGTTACTTCAATTGCAATTTATTCAGAGAGAGGCTAATGCAGTGCCCACGTTTAGCGAGGGGAAGCTGGATGCATGGATGTGTTGCCTTTGTTCAAGTGCGGCTTAGAAGCATCCCTGACCTGCAAGTGGTCAGACTTGCCAGCCGGACACAAAGGTGTTCCAGAAACAGCATCCAGCCACCCGGCCTGGGGGAGCTGGCTGACTAGAGGGGAGAGGCTGTTCCAAAGTCACACTTCGTCAGCTGCCAACATGAGTCACTGGCTCCAAGTGTGTGTGTATGTGTGTGTGTCTGAAAGCAGAGGGAAACACAAATGAGTGCTTGTTCAGCTGACTTCGAGGAGTCAGGACTCTCAGAGCTGCCTCCACAGGGGACTCAGATGAGAAGAAACAGCCAGCCAGCCGAGGGATGATGTGCCAGCAATAAGGAAAGTGGCGCCTGACGGGAGACAGAAAACGGAGAGGAACTTCAGAAGTGACTTGAGTTCTCACAGACTTAGACTTTATTAGAAGAGAGGTTTCAGTGTCTCCCAAAACTCTCAGGACTGGGGTTAAGATTTAAAGGAGGCTTATTTAAGTATGGGAAATAAAATACAAAAGGGCCACATCTGATATCAAAGATTATGTTGGCTTTCTGATGAAGAGAGGCCTAGAAAATTGCCCCCTACCCCCTTTTAGGGCAGTAAAACTTTTTTTTTTTTGTCAGTCATGGGGCTTGAACTCTGGACCTAAACGCTGTCCCTCAGCTCTTCAGCTCAAAGCTACTTGAGCCACTGCACCACTTCTGGTTTTCTGAGTGGTTTATTGGAGATAAGAGTCTCATGGACTTTCCTACCTGGGCTGGCTTTGAACCACAATCCTCAGATCTCAGCCTCCTGAGTAGCTAGGATTACAGGCATGAGCCACCAGTACCCGGCAACAAAACTTCTTTTGAGGTGACTGTATTTCTACTCTGAAATTCCTGACACTGTGGCCCTGGGTAGGTGGCAAACATAGACAATGTGTGAGGAAGGTCTTCCTCTTTATCTCACTTCCCTTCTCCTCCCTCCCAAGAAATGCTTGGTGACCCAAGGGTCCCTTTACCTCCACACCAGAATTTCTTCAGCATTCCTATTCAACATTTGCTCAAGAGCCTGTTTGTTCCTTTGGGGCCTGGACCTCCAGAGTCAGAGCACACAGATAACTAACCTGGTTCTTGCATCTACATGGGAGAATCTTTTTTTTTGGGGGGGGGGAGGAAGATGAAGATGGAGCTCCAAGACTTTACACCCACTCCATGCAAATAGTATGGTCACTGGGAACAGACAAGGCATGTCTGAGTCTCCCCGTCTTCACAGGAGACAACATGAAAAGCAGCATTCTCTTTTTAATATAAAATCATGTCAACTAAATAAAACCTGTCAAAAGCTACATCACTTAAAATATGTACAATTTCAAACATCATATTACAACTTTGAGAGGGGAAGAAAAAAAAGTACTTTTCAATATGGTACAAAGCATGCATCTCAGTCACTACGTTAAAGGAGAGTAACACAGGTGCAGTTCAGTCACAAAGGTGGCCTCTTGGCAGTGCTGCAGCTGAATGACATACGTCATAAGGGATGCCTTAGTCTTCAGAGACTCAGTCATTACACGAAAGTAAACTCTAGCAAGGAATGCTTTTTGAAAAGACCATTTCAAAGGTAAAGAACATTGTAATATAACAGGTACTCTGTATAGCAATTATCACCAGATGATGGTCAGTATGTAATGCAGAGGAAAACAGAATTGGGGAAATGATCAAGGGG